CAGAAGGCTTCGGCAGCCAAGAAGAGTGCTGCTCCCGCCGTCAAGAAGGCCGTTCCAGCCAAGGGTGCTTCTGCTGCTAAGAAAGCACCCGCGAGCCAGAAGGCTTCGACAGCCAAAAAGAGTGCTGCTCCCGCCGTCAAGAAGGCAGTGAAAGCAAACTCCGTCAAGGGTGGAGCTGCAACAGCGGCCGTCGCGGCGCCGCCTTCCGTTGCGACAAGTGCGGCTGGCAACTCAGTGACGTCGTCTAGCGATACGAATGGAGGTCGGCGTCAGCGCCTGCTTCAGAAGGGCCGAGGTGTTGTGGACGTATTCTCGGGGAAAGTGAGCACCTGCCACGTGTACGAACGAGACGGTGACGTGTACCAGTGCACCTTGAACCAAACCCATGTTTCTGCCAACAGAAACAAGTACTTTATTCTGCAGTTGTTGCAGGATGATTCTGGATCCATGTACTACCTCTTCACACGCTGGGGACGCGTGGGTTACGACGGACAGAACAAAACGGAGGAGTTTTATGATGATGCGGCTGCGAGGCAGGCATTTTACACGAAGTTCGCCAGCAAGACGGGAAACAGTTGGTCGAATCGGGCGAACTTCTCAAAAGTTGCGGGACGGTACGAGCTGATGGACATCGATTATGGAGCGCAGGAGGAGGAGGAGGAAGAGGAGGAAAAGAGGCGGCGAAGTAAAGGGCCGGTGCAGTCTGCGCTGCCAACCGAACTGCAGGACCTCATGAAGCTTATCGGGTCCAAGAGCCAGATGACGCAGGTGATGCGGGAGTTGGAGATTAACATGGAGAGGCTGCCGCTGGGGAAAATATCCCAGGCACAAATCAAGCGCGCATACCAAGTGCTAAAGTTGATAGAGAGGGAGATGAAAAAGGCACGCCCGAAGCTGGCGGAGCTGTCAAGCCAATTCTACACGCTGATCCCACACGCCGTTGGTGTCCGTCGGCCCCCCGTCATCAATTCAGAGGAACTGTTGCGTCAAAAGATGGATATGCTGGAGACACTGGGCAAACTGGAGATCGCGGTTTCCCTCCTCGGCGCCAAGGGCTCAGAGGACCTCCACCCCAACGACAAGCTTTATCGCAGCCTTAACTGTGAGCTGACGCCGCTGCCCCGCGACGACCCTGACTTCCGACGCATTGAGGAGTACGCGCGCAACACGCACGGTCCGAGCCACAATTTCCGAGTTGAGGTGACGCGGGTGTTCAAAATTTGCCGCCAGGGCGAGGAAGAGCGATATGAGGCGTTCAAGAAGCTTGGCAATCGGCAGATGCTGTGGCATGGCTCTCGCGTCACGAATTTCATCGGCATCCTCTCCCAGGGCCTGCGCATCGCCCCACCAGAGGCTCCGTGCACGGGATACATGTTTGGCAAAGGCATCTACCTCGCGGACGTCTGCACGAAGTCGGCAAGCTACTGCCACGCGGCGGCAGACACGAACGTTGGTCTCATGCTGCTGTGTGAGGCCGCGCTGGGGAAGCAGAGCAGCCTCACTGCAGCGGCGTACATGGAGAAGCCAATGCCGGGGACCGACGCGACAAAAGGTGTGGGGAGCTACTTCCCTGATCCAGCTGGCGCAGAGGTGGTGGATGGCGTGCTGTGGCCGAAAGGACGCGTGAAGCAGGAAGCGATTGCCTCCTCGCTGATATACCCCGAACACATCATCTATAACGTTGCCCAGTGCAAAATGAGCTACCTGGTTCAAGTGAAGATTTGCCGTTAGTCGTCCTGCTGTGCCTGACCATTTTTTCCCGTATGCTTTCTTCTTCTTACTCCTCCTTCCCTCTTGTCGGGCGTCAGTGTTTTTCTTTGCCTTACAAACCCCTTGTTTGCGCTGGTAAGACATTGTTGTTGTTTTTTTGTTTTTTGTTATTGTTTGCTTTTGTTTGCTTTTGTTTTGGCGTGGAGCCAGGAAGAATACATCAATTATTCCTGTTGTTTTCGTTTCAGTATTCTGTTGCAAGCCGTTTGCTTCGACGCCTTCGCTCTGGTGCAGCGAGGCCGGAGGAACTGACGTGGCAGAAAAGTTGTGGGTGCTTCTCCAGCGCAAACTGTGGGTTCATGGGTCCGCTTGGTCATATTCTTGCTGTTGCTGCTGCTGCTGCTACAAACTTCTTTGCTTCCGCCGGCCACACACACACACACACACACACACACAGGGCAAGGATGACAACTGTTCCTCGCCCAGTGCGGGATACGGCGGTGGAGCTTCCGTGGAAGCTGCTTGTGGCCGCCGCACAGCCGTATCAAACCATCTCGGGCCCCGCGCTCTCCGTGAACTTCCTCAAGCAGCCGAACCTTATGCCGTTTCAGCGCCTCCCCTTTCACCACTGCGGTGTTTCGGGCCGGTACTATCACTCGCTCCTGCACAGTCTTGCTGAGTTTGCGACGACGCCGCGGCCTGTGCGTGACAGCCACGTGAAGATGCTGCATGCCCCCATGGAGGATTTCTGGCGCGCGGTGGGGCTGCTCAACTGCGTGTACCTCACACACTACTCCCCGCTTATTCACGAGCATCCGGCAATGGGGGCCGTGGAGCTGGCGCCGCCGTCGCACCGCGAGCAAAAGGACCTTCGCTTGTCGCTGTACAGTAGCACGTATCAGCCCATCTCTACGATGATTCTTACTGGCTCTTCTAGTGCCGCGCTTGCTGGGCGAGGCAAAGACCTTGCGGCGCCGCTGCCCCACAGCGACCAGGATGAGGCGTCGCTGCGGCTTGCAACTGCTGGGGAGGCGCGGCGGCTGGCCGACGGGTCGATTTTGCAAAGGGCAACCTTCACTCAGGGCGGGATGCAGAGCAGCGACGTGGTCCCACCGTGGCGGCTGGACGATTGCGTCGCCGAGTTTTGTCGAACACTGGCGTCCGCAGGCCTGCTGGCACCGCACGTCAGCAGTGAGGGAAACGGCATGTGGACCATCGTCGCCCAGCAGACATTGACCCACGGTGAGCTTTTGACCGACGCGCCTTTTGATATTGTAACCGCCGTGCCCCGTGTTTTCGCAACGTATCGTATGCCGCCGTGGCGTCATCGCATTGGCTTGCCGTCGTTTAGCGGTGACCAGCAGCCGCTGTGTGTTGCGTTGCGTGTGGAACTGCGACAAGACAGCCGCACGGTAACAGCGGGGACGTACTTTCTTGTGGAGGTGGAGCGGCATGTGGGATGACGCTCTTTTTGCCTCTCGCTCTCTGTGTGTGTGCGTGTGTGTGCTTCTCGCTGATGTGTTACCACCTTAGTGGGTGCCATGCCGCTTCTTCCTTGTTGTTGTTGTTGTTGTTTTCTACCTCTTGTCTCTATACTTCCCGCAGTGTCTCTTCGGCTCGGACCACCATTTTTCCTCGATCAATTCCATCTCTCCTCCTCTCCTTCTCTCTCGCTGGCGCTCCTACTGCTGTTTGCCGCCGTCGCCACACGGCAGCTCGTTGTTGCGGTCTCTCCTTCGGCGGGTGAAACGCCTCACACTCCCTCTGCCCCCGCGTGTCCCGCGCTGGCTGTGTACTTCCGCCGGCTGCGAGGGAAAACGTGTGGCCCGTGGACCACACTTTGCGCTGTAGCCCACACCGGCTTTGGCTGCGCCCTGGCGGGAGGAACGAGCGGGCGCGCGTGTGAGGCGGCGGACGCAGCGACCGGGGCCGAGCCGGTCGGATAAAAAGTCGATAGGAAAGGAGGTTGTAATAGAGCAGGCGAGGCCGCAGCGAAGGCAGGCGTGCGACAGTATGCCTAAGCACCGGAAGGGCAGCCGCGGGGTCGAGGCGCGAGACATCGGCAACTTTCAGTACGAGTGGCAAAGCGAGGCGAAGAGCACTGCCCCGCGTCGCACCGCACCCCGGCGTAATGTTGACCCCACCGTGCTGAAGCGTGCGTACATGCTGCACAACTTTCAGTTTGTGCTTCGACCCGACTTTTATGAGGTGAGGCCAACTCCGGGGCTCCCGCATGGAAACCGGCGGCTGGGCGACATGCTTCGCTCAAGCGACGCGCCGCCGCCGTGGGACGCCGTCACCGCGGTCGTGGTGCGCTGCAAGATTGATCAATTTCAGTGTCCAATCTGCCTCGAAACTCCAACGGCCGCGCGGGTTGCCGACTGCGGCCACGTCGTCTGCCTGCCGTGCATGTCGCAGTACCTGTCGAGGCTGAAGCAGGAAAATAAGCAGCGCACCTGCCCGGTATGCCACAACGTTGTGACGCTGGGTATGCTGCGGCCGTGCATCCTCCGACTCATTGAGCCCCCATCTGCCGGTAAGCGTGTCAGTTTTACGTTGCTCCGGCGACGCGGGGAACACTGCGTGCTGCTGCGGCACGACGACCCCCGCTGGGCTGCCACTGCGCCACCGGAAGAGGAGCCGCCGCTTCCTTTCCTGCACGAGCCGTCGGCAACGTTCAGCAGATACATTCTCGCCACGGCGGAGAGCGAAAGTACGCGGCGCCGCCTCGACTGCACAGCTATCATGGATCAGCTGAATCAACTCAATGCAGAGCCCAGACCTTTGTCGCAGTTTGACGACGCGGTACTGCACTTCTCTGAGGAGGCGCTTGAGATGGTGCTGCAGGAGGCTGACTTCCAGTCTCCGCAAACGAGCACGCGCAACTCGCCTCCACTCGCCCCGAGGCGCCCAAACCTGGATGGCGAAAAGATATACTATTTGTACGGTGAGTCGGAGGGTCAGCCGTACTACATGCACCCCGTGTCCTTCAAAATGCTGCGCGATGATGCCATCGCGCGTGGGACGCCGCTTCCTGGCACCGTGGAGGCCCCTGTGGAAGAAATTGTGTCCTTTACGCAGGATGAGGCGACCAGGAAGCATTACAAGGCCTCGGCGCATGTCCCGCTGCACGGGACGATCAAGTTTTGCCTGCTCGACCTTGCGGATGTGGTGCTGCCGTCAACGCTACGGGCCTTTGAGACGACGCTGGCGCGGATGCGAGAGGCGCGGCGGCGGCGTGAGGCAGGCGGCGACAGCGGCGGCGAAGACACTTCGTGGCAGGCCTACTTGCGCCGCTACCGTGCCGTCAGCACTCCGCCCACCTCCGAGTCCGGCTTCTCGCCGGAGCCCACCTTTTCCGACTACTCCGGCGGCTCCGACTTGATTCCGTCGTCCGGCATCACGGCGTGGAGCGAGCCTGGCGGGCTCAGCGGCGACTCCTCACTCGAGACGCGGCAGCGGGCGACAAAACGGCAAGAAGCGCCGATTGCGAGCTGCTGGACGGTGGAGAACTCGCGGCGGCTCTTCGCAACACCACCGCTGCGGCCGGCCAAGCCAACCTGGGGCGGCCACGTCCTCAACCTGCACCAGCCGTCCTCCGCTGGCTCGCGTCCGTCTCAGTAGCTGCAGAGCGCAGCGGAAAGAAGCACGAGGCGCGGGAGGGGGGAACGAAGAAAAAAAAAAAAGAATAATGCCGGGGAAGGCAGCGCCAGCGCTAGAGACGCGTGAAAGGAGTGGCGAAGAAAACCCCCCAACAAAAAAACAAAGGCCATGAACGAAAGGAAAAAAGAGGAATAAAAAAAGGGGGCCGTCCCCGCCGGACATCCCCCCTCCCCCGCAGTGAAAGTAGAGGGTCCACCCAGCAGCGGAGTCGGTGGGTAACTCGAGCGCGTCAATGACAGCAGCGAGTGGGGGTGGGACAAAAAGGAGGGCCAGCAGGCATATGTGGACTGAAGTTGAATTGAAAAAAAAAGTCGAGCGTATAGTTCCTTTTTTTTTTTTTTCCTTTCCTACTCTACCTTGTTTTTTTTTTTTTTTGCGTCGTCTTGATTTCCGTGAGAAATGCCGCGGCAATGTATGGCGAGAGGGGCCACACGGCAATTGAACCAATGCAAGGCAGCAACTGCGGAAAAGGCGGCAAACCGAGCAGTACGTGGATATGGAAAGCTCGGATGTGTGGACAAAGCGCTGGTGTTGAAGTGTGAGTAAAATGTGAAACTGCGTGTTTTCCGCAAGAGCAACGGCGGCGGCTTTCCCCCAATCCTCAGTTTTTGCTTGCTGCCCCCTCCCCCTCCAGTTGCCTGTTTTGTGTTCCACTCACCACATCTCCCTTTCCCTTTTCCCCCTCCGTGGCGTTCACCAAACACACACGCACACGCACACGCACACAGACACTAGACAAAACGTGGAAAGCGGGACATTAGCGGAGCCGTGAGAGGGGAAAAAACAAAAACAAAAAAAAGAGTTATGCGGGATGTGGCGCGACCAGCCGAACATTCTGCGTCCGCGACACATCGGCAGCACCTTTTATTTGCCCGGAGGTGGCACTGGTGGCGGGCGAGGCGGATCGGTGCCGCAGGTACCGGGTGAGTACCCCCTGCCTGTAGTGAATCCCCCGCAGGACGCGCGTGATCGCCTGAGCGCCGTGGAGCGTGCTTCGTCCGATACGGCCGTGACTACGCTGCTTTCCCGCTATCGGGTTGAGAACGAGAGGCTCCAAGATCAATTGAAGGCGCATGCCGTTCACGAGGCACTACTCGAGCAGCGCTTGCACGAACTGAGCGCCAGAAACACCGCCCTGCATCTTCAGGAGTTTCGAAAAAAGGAAAGCGACTCTGCGCTGGACGCGCTAAAGAAACAGCTGGAGGATCGCGAGCATGAGGTGCGTGCTCTGCAGCTGCAGGTGGAGAAGCAAGCGGGACGCATTGCTGCATTTGAGGAAGCCGTTTCACGTCCCCCGCGTGACTCGGAAGAGTCCCCGGCGACGCCTTCATCGTCCTCGTCGCGCCGCACACACGAGCTCTTGTGTCAGATATTAAGCAGCGTGGGGTTTTTAAAAAGTGTGTTTAACGCAGTCAAGCATTGCCGAACATCGCCGCATGAGGAGACGGGGTGCCAGCGTCCGCTGCAAGAATGCACGTTGCGTTGCCTGCAGGCCGCTATGCGGGGTAACCAGGAGACGCTAGGGGATATGCTGGGCCGAGGACACCAAGCATCATGCGAGGAGTTGGCGCTTGCCATTCGCGAGGAGGTGATTTTTTGCGAGGCCTCGGCAGTGCAGGTGGCGGCTCAGCTGCTTGCCGAGCGTGCGCCCCCCGCGGCCTTGGGGGAGGAGCCCCGCACGACGCCCCCACTGCCGTTAGACGCTGACAGTGGCGCCGGCGCCGCCGAGGCAGAAGCGCGGGAAGGAGGGGAGCTGGAGGAGGAGAAGTGCGCTTCCTCCGTGGAGCAGCCGCCGTTGGCGGCCCCGCCGGCACCCTGCGCGAGACGAAGGCCAACATCGCGACCCACCGTTGACGACTGCGAGGTTCAGTGAGGCGGAGTTTGCGTGGACGGCTTTCCTGCAACCACCGACGATGCGGGGCCCCGTGCCCCGTTGCTTCCCTGCGTAGGGGGATCCTTCTTTGCTTGCTTGCTCGCTCGCTCGCTCGTTATCTCTCTCTCCTTCCCTTCCCCCTATCCACGGCGTGGCATACGCATCTTTTTGTTCGATGTCCGTTTTTTTTTTTTTCGCTTCCTCTTTGATCTCCCCGAGCGAGTCCCCCGTGCTGCAGGTGAAGGCTGCTCTATCATACAGGCAAATTTCCTCAAAGAGCTCGGATCAATGTCCCCCGAATTCGCCTTTCACGACGTCTCCAACGACGCCATCAAATCGATGACGCCGAGCGAGGCGCTGCAAAAGCACCTTGAGAACGCGCAGCTGGCGCATCGTGTGTGCGTCGCCAAGGCGCTGAAGGCCGAGGAGCCGCCGGCGGAAAAGTGCGCCTTGACGTGGGGCGAAGTGGTTATCCGCTACCAGGCCTGGGCAGAGTACCGCCCGCCCTTTCAGGATAGCGTTGCCCAGTCGAAGTACAAAAAGTACTGGACGAAGAAGCGCCAGGCCGAGGACGATAAGAACCCCTTCAAATAAGGCAGCAAAGCAGAGTTGTGGGGTGCTGCTGTTATTGTGGCGTGGCTCTGTTGCCGGTAGTAGGTCTCCAATTTTAGTAGTGGACAGATGAGGCCGAGAGGAGGAGAGAGGAAACAAATAAAATATGAAGCGAACATGGTTGGTAGTAGTACCCCTTGGCGGAATGAAAAAAAAAAGAAACTCCTAACACACGGGAATGCGGCCCCCTCCCCTCTTTCAATCCTTCCTCTTTGCCTCTCCCCATCCCCAACGAGAGATAGCACAAAATGTTTCTACGCGTGTGTTTTTTCTTCTTCTTCTTGTGATTCCTTTGCTTGTTTTACTTTTTTCTTTTTGCTTCTTTTTACCTTCCTTTCCCAATAGCACAGCTGGAATTCGTCTCGCACAAACGCATTGGAAATGCCCAGTGATACGCCTTTTCCTTTTGTGCGCATGTGTGTGAGTGTGCGCTAAGCACTACAGCTGCTGCTTGGCCGAGGCCCCACCACCACAGCCATTGCTACCTCCTCTACCTCCGACTTCAACGTCTTTGCAAGACGCTGCTCGATGCGCGGTGCCTCCTTACCGCAGGCATTCCGCTTCGCTTCCGTGTAGCATGGCGCTCTTTTCTGCCGTATGAGGGAAAACCTCCGTTGTTCGTATTTCGTGGCTAACAAGTCCAGTATCGGCAGTGAAGGAAACGCCGCGGAGGGGGATCCGTTCTTTTGGGTACGGCGCAGTGACCATAACTTGCCTCCCTCCCCGACGCCAGATGTTAAGCTGGCAGGTATGAAATTGTTGCTCACGTCGGGCTGCGGCAATAGGAGCGACGGCCACCTGTACCCACTTGAAGAGCCACGTCCGTCGCACGGCTCCACCGTCGTGACGCGCGCAAACCAGCTGACGCCATCAACAACTTCCTCGAGCATTACCACTAATACAGTGAGGCTACTGGCTTACAGAGACACACGGCGGCCCAACATTTGGCGCGGGCGCTACATCCATACGCTTGATAACTAAAGGCGGGGCGCCCATGAGCAATTTGTAACCTGTAAATACACTCACTTTTCCAGTAAACAGGCCATGACACGACTCTGGCCCGGCCTGCCGTGGGATACACCCTTGTTTTGTTTTGTTTTGTTTTGTGTGTGTGCTTTTTTACAGCGAATGTGACGATCCACGGACCGCGTTCCTTTTGTGTTTGTGACACATGAGTGTTTTGTGTTTTTTTCCCGTGTGCGGGCGCCTCGATGGAGGGGGGCCCCGCGCAGGGGAAGAGGGCGCGGCCACGCCGCGGGGATATGGAACTGCAGTTCATTGGAACTGGGGCCGGGGGCAGGTGGAGCACCTCGCGGGGAACAGAGACGAGGTGCGGGGGGAAGGAAGAGAGGTAGGACGTAGCGGACCCACGGGGAAGTTTTTTTTCTTTTCGATTGTCCTTGGATTTGTCGGTGTGTTCCTTCTGTTTTCCATCGGCGGGCTTCCTTCCGGTGCCGGGCTCACAAGCCCAGGCACGTGGCAGGGGGCGGGCGCGCAGGAAGG